TGCGGGGTAAGGCAGACCCTTCAGTTTCATTAGTTACTTCCTCTAAACCAACTTCATAATCTTTGATGCCCAACTCTGAGCTTTACATAGTTAAATTAAAACTTATGAACCTTTAAAGTTGTAAATTTTGATGGTTTGTCTGTTCCAGGAACCATCTCAGAGATCCCGATTCAGACAAACCCCTCTGACTTAACTCCAGTATAGCTAGTCTCTCTCAGCTCATTTTATGGTCCACGGAGAAAAACAGGAGCTTCTAGAGTTCAGGTTACTTCATCTGATGTTTTCTAGCAAAATGAATCTTGCCCTGGAAAAGCCTTTTTCTTTCCATAAGAGGAGCCGAAGGTGACTCATCATGTAGTCTACACCTAAAGTTAGGTGAAATTAAGCTTATTCAAGAAGTAGCTTGACTTATTTTTGTGATTAAATTTCATGTTTATTCCTTTAAAGAGCATCCAATTTTTGCCGACTAGAGATCTGATTTTACTGGTAGATGCACTTGTGAGAACAGATGAAAATCTTGCCATCTGACAATGTCAGCTGGGCTCCTGCACTCTGCTATCACACACTTTGCCATAGTTTTCTAGACTTGTAATTTAATTTACCTCAATCTGAGAAAAGGCCCAGAACCACATCCCCTCCATATGAAGAGGTCTCCTTTACTTGGGAATGTAACATAGTGCAACAGTATTTTAGATTAGCTGTCTCATCAGTCCTCAAGAAAATGAATATGCATCTAACTGTTTCTCCAGGATTTTGTTTGCTGTTTAAGTGCAAAGAATTTCAGTTTTCTCATTTCATGGGCAGTAGTTACAGCTGTGAAGCACTGCTGAAATTATTATCAACCTTGTTCATATGTGGACTCACTACTATCTTCCATGGGGCTCTGGTTCCTTTATGAAAAAGCTAGTAAGCATTGCAAACAGAGAACATCCCAGCAAAAATAGATCACTCTGCTAATTGCAAGTTTTGAATGAGATACTGTCTAGCAGATATTTCTTATGTTGTCAGAGCAGTTACATCCTCACTGTGTAGCTTCTCCTGCCAGGGTTTACGACATGGCTGGTCTCCATAACTGAGAGGCAAATAGTGGTTTGATATCTTGTGTACCTTCTTCCTTTCTGCAGTTGTGCTCTTCACCCCAAAATATTCCCTCCTTTCTCCCATTCCCTTCTTCTGTTGTTGCTCAAAACCAAGAGTTTGTGATGTTGCTTATCCTGGTTAAACCATTAATAACCTCATAGACAACTTTCCAAAAGACTTTTACTGGTTTTCTCCACTTCTCATTTGAATCCCTGACAAATTCTGCAAACTGCATCGCAGGAGCTAAGAGGGTGCAATAGCTCTAGGCAAGCAGGAGCTGTGAAGGTAGGTAAAACATGACAAAGAAACATGGTTACTACTCTATACAAAAGGGTTAGATCTTCCTACATGCACAGTTTCCCTCTCCTTCAGGGGACATAATGGATCAAACACTATAGCTCCATTTATTATTGAACCATGAGGGAAAACAGAACCAATGAAGGTCATCACAATGAGCAATGATACAGCGATACAGTGGAAGGTCTGGAGATCTGCCTGTGAGATATCTCCTGAAACCTTGCACTCTTCCTGAACAGCCATTGACGAGTTCAGTGAGGGCACCTGGGGGAAATGAATGAAAAGCAGATGAACCACAACAAACAGAGGTCATCAATGCATAAACCAGATGAGAGGGAATTACCCTCCCCCTGAGCATGCTGGATTGCTAGCTCCTGCAGTGGCTGACCTCGCGCTGGACACTTGCACAGAGGGGAAGTGGTGCACCATCATGGCAGCTACGGTATCTTGCTTCAGCCTTGGTGATAGGCAACACTGTGCTCACCCTGAATTACAGGGCAAGTCAAATTTTTTTCACTGAAATATAATATAGGAGCACAACTACCTCCTGCTGAAATACTCACTGATCATGTCTTCTTTACTTAAGGTTAGATATAAAGTTGGCTTGAACAATTTTGATAAATAGACAATTTTAAATAGATATTGCAGTTTGATAATAAAAGTCCATGTGACCAGAACACTGAAAGTGCTCCATCCTTAGATATGTTGGGTTTTTGCACATAAGAGTGAATTTTTTTATTATTTTTTTTCCAAGTCTCCATCCTACTTTTATTCCAAAATAACTTTTCTAAGTGACATCTTTAATGTGTAATAACACATATCGACTTTTTTCTGAATCTAAGCCAGGATGCAGGATGCCTTCATCTGGTTTCCCCCCCATCTCCCTTAAAGCCCAATAAATCTGTGACTATTTCCATTTTGAAGCCTCAGAGGGTATAAAATTACTTCACAGCTCCTGGAGCCTGGAGCCTTCAGTATGGCTGATGGAGAGCCAAGATCAGAATGGAGTTGCTGAAATCGGGAAGTGAAACAAAAATAGTCCCCTGGAAAGGAGCAAAGCACAATGACAAAAGCAAGTCCCATTTGGAATCATAGCTATCAGACATCATGGTGAAGTGTGTGTTTGCCTCCACAAACTGTTAAAACAGTAGCAACTGTCATATGGTTCCAGTCATAGCCCATCATTAACAAAAACTCTGTAACAGCATTTGATGCAGTCACGGGCCAATGCAGTTTAGTTTTGTCACTGTACAGTCAGCAGTTCCTTACTTTTCCTGTAAAGGGATAAATTATGTTTCAGCTTTAATTTTATGTAGTGTCATTTAAAAAAGAGACACACTCCCCACGTTGCTGTTTCACTGTATGAGCCGTCTCATATTAAGGTCTATCTTTGGCATAAGTTTTATCAACCATTACATTTCTGCTGGCTTTGAAGTACAATTTCATAAGCACTTATAGGTTCAGGCTAATGGAAGCAACAAACTGCTCTGATTACTACCGACCTTTGCATGGATCTGTGACACAGTGCAGTGTGAAGAGTTTCCAACACTGAAAGAACAGGGGTTTTTTGGCTTTCCCCTGCACCTTTCTAACAAGGGAGAAATAAAAATAGTGTGTTTGGCCAATCTTTCATTCGTATTCACATGAGGATCAAAGTGCAAAATGACCTGTGCCTGTTCTCTCATGCAGGGAATTTCCAAGGACAGAGACTGTTACTTCTAGGTTTTTCTGTGCATAGTAAAAGGGATGGAGCTCAGGAAAAATGTGTGGCTGAAGTCCCCATATATGTGCCCTAATGGTCCAGGACTTTATAGCTTATTGCCCTCTATCTATTTTCAGACAGACTATTAACAGGATTTTGAGGACGGAAGGTTTTTACGCTATGCTAAACAGGTTGATACTTCTGACTCTTGTCACAAAGAAATTAAGATGATCTTTCTTCATTAAGATTGCAAAATGTGATGGATCTGGGTAGGGAGATCTTTGGTGTTGCAGAAATTCAGATAGTGGCTCTACCAATATCAAAATCCACCCCATGACTCCATCATTCCTGAATATCCTTCTCTGCTACCCAGATCTATGGTTAGAAATGTGGATATGTCACATCAGGATCTTTTCAGACATTTCAAGTCTTCACTATATACCCAGATGATGCTGCACAGATACCTTGCATCCCATGGTCCCACGCATCAAGTTTGGCTCTGCAGCTCTTCCTCTAAACAGAATGAAGGAAAACTGCTCAGTTTTAGTGCTCTTATAAAAATTACTTTCTTTAATGTCCTATATTCAAAGCAGGATTTGTAGGCTTATCACTGTAGTTTGATCCCTCTCCTTTCTGCTGTGTGCTCCTAGCTTTACAGAAGTTAAATCATTAAAATATGTGTTTCTGTCACAGTGTGGACACTTGGCTCCAAGTATTACTTAAAGGACATGGGTAAACACAGGAAAAGATGTCCCAGCAGGAGGGAAGTGATTGTGGGGACAGTATGTTCTGACAGCAATTCAAAATTACCAGTAAGTTACAGAGTAGGAAGTCGTAGATAAAAAGTTGTTTTATTTAAATAGCCAGCAGGTCTCATCCCAGAGAACAATAGAGTTCTACTCCTACAGCCGGTGCTGTACACATGCAGGGAACTTCATTAGGTCAAGCCAATAAAGACAAGAAAAAGGCAGATAACATCTCTGAGGGATGCACCAGGCTGAGAAATTGGCCCTGATTTTCCTTTTGCCTACATCAGAGAAAGTCACTTAAGGTGAGTGGCAGTACTCCACAGCAAAGTTGGAAAGCAGCAAGGCAAGTCTGGGCTTTTCCAGCCTCAGGGTGGTTTTTATTATTCATTTAAACACCTGTGAGGTTCTCAGGGCAAGATTCATAACCATGCTGGGTTGGGAGGGAGACATGGCACAGTAATTAGAAAGGGCAGTGAAGCACCCAAACCTTAATGAGGACCTAGCCTTTGGCTGTGCAGGGGTACAAAACAGGGCACAGCAGCAGATGGACAGTAAGAGAAATTCCTAGGGAAGAGAGGGACTATTTTGCTTTAAATAGACTTTTTTCTTGATGAGTTCCTATTTTGCTGTTGATCCCATCTTTCCTTGGTCCCCATCTCTGTCTCCAACTTCCAGTCTCACATCTCTCTGCACTCCATCTGGGCAGCCCACAACCACTACCCACACTCTTCTCTGCCGCCTTGAAGCAGCTCCCAGCGTTGCTGGTTCTGCCCAAACCATATGTAATTGTGCCTTGCAGTGCACCTTAGCTTGGGCTTTGATTCTTGTCACAATTTTGGCATCAGCACACCCCACCAGAGATGTGTTTCATGGACTCTAGATCTCCTCTATGAGGAATGAGGATTTGGAAGAGGATCAATTTATTCATTGACTACTCTTTAAACGGAGGCTAGATTATTATGGGACATGGCATTCTTTATGGGACCTTGTCAAAAAAAGATATACTGGTGGACACAGAAATACTTCTTCAGGTCTTCAGGAGACTGAGCAGCACACTCCAAACTAAGGAGAGGCTGGGAGCAGTTTCTGTCCTCCTCCATCCAGTTTAGCTTAGTTATATATACTCAATAGGGAAAAAATTTGAGGGAAAAGGGTGGTTAGTACCTGTGACCATTAGCTGGAGAGGAAGCAAGTTCACAAGCTCTTGTGGGATAGACAAAATCACCTGTGAAACATAAGAGGAAAAACTGGAGAAGGATTGTAGGGAAAGGTGAAATATGTCAAAGAGTCTCCAACTCCATGGAATCTGTGATTTTCAGCATCCAATGTAGTAGTTAATGTAGTTTACATAAATGGGCTCCTGTGTTAATTACATTTGCTCGTAACAGTAGCACAACCATACCTTTTGTCTAAGAAGACATTATGCAGACAGAGAGAGTGTGGCAAATCATTTCCCATCATTGAGTTGACCTCAGATTGAAAAAAAACACGACTTGAGGAAACCAATAAGCTATTCACCATGTCTCCTTGGGACAAGAAGAGGAGGGCTGACCCTGAAAGAAGAAAGATTTCAGTTAGGCATTAGGAAAATGGCCAGTGGCTGAGTTCAGGCAAGTCATGTAGTGCTGATCACAGGAGATTTTTAAAGACACTAGGCAAATCTCTGTAACAAGTTGGCCAGGTCTAACTGATCTTGCCTTGGGACAAGGAAAGGATGAAATGCCTTCTAAAGCTCTCTTTCAGCCTTATTTTCCATTTTTCCACCTACAAAATATTTTCAGACAACTGTGATGTCTTTGTTTCCCGTAAGAAACAGTTGGGAACCTGTCTGTCCACTCAGCAGAAAGCTTGCCATTCAAACCCCTTGAATGCATGAGCTGGCTGCCATCCATTTTGACTAAGACTCTCAAAGAGGAGCTGTGTAAGTTTAAGTCCAATGAGATTACCAAACAGTAATGGTGTTCTTGGATGTGGGGAGTATGCTTCTCTACTTGGGGAATGAGAAACGTTCACGTATTTCACGCGTACCACTAAAAAAGCCACCCGAGGGGAACAACTATGATGTTTATGATTGGGTGATGCTTATGATCAACGTTGATCAGGGTAGTTCTCAGAGCAGCAAGCCCAAGATGAAAGATTTCATATCATATTACCAACCACCCAACCAAATTGAGCCAACAAAATTAACAGAAACCCCTTGGAAACACATAGAATTCAATTATTTTGGCTAAATTGCCACATCCATGGCAAATTACAGGCTGTCTATTGGAAAATATCTCCTCTCAGTCCTGCCATTTTTTGTTCTTAAGTTCTGTTTATGTTCCCAGCATTTTCCCCTCCTGGCATAGGCCCAGTGTTTTTTGGGAAGGACTAAAGATAGGCTCTTGCTCCACAGAACACTATTTAGTGGTTGTACGAGGTTGCAATTAGACAGTGTGGTCTTTGATTCCTCTGCAGACCCGTGATATCAAGCTTGTGGCGTGACCTAAAATACAATAACCAGATCCAAGCTTTGCCAGACCAAAGTGGTGCAGAAAATCTGACTGGTGTTTAGAGGCGAGTGATAAGGACTATGTAGCCGCAGTCTATCAAAAGCTGCTTCTTGTCTGGAGTGTCTTCAAGGGATTTTAAGAGGGATGGAGGAATTCACTGACTTTAAATTCTTAATGGATAGGAGAACCCATTTCTGTCCATTGATGTGCAAGAAGTCCAGGGAGAGAAGACTGCAAGTGCACAAACCAAAGTGAAGATTGTACTTTGCTGAGAACAGGGAGGCACTGCCAAGAGGCACCAGCTTGGGCCTCAGAAATCATACATTCGTGTTAGCCCAGCAGCCAGCAACCCTCCTCATGCAGAAATCAGGGGGGTTCAAAACACTCCAGCCTTTCCAAACAGTGTAGAGAGACTAGAGATGGAGCCAGAATTTCTCCCAAAAATTGTAAGCAGAGATTGAAGTATCTGCTTATTTTCTCATTTCTCTTGCACATTTGAGATTTGATTTTTGTGCTTCAGTCTGCAACCATGGGCCACAGGTCTCAATGGGCAGAAGGGGACTTACTTAAAATCTGTGCTCGGCATGATACACATCCCACAGCAAATGCTTCACAGCCTTGAGAAGCGAGCTAGGAGCTCACATTCCCATTTAGAAATCATCAGCTTTCTTGGGCAAAACAGGGGTATCTCAGGGTAAATGCTCTACTCTTAACTGTGTATCTCTGGTGTCTGTGCTGTGAGTTATCTTGTGACTTGTGGGGAAACACATCTCTACCAGTACTGTATTGTCTAATAATTTCCCAGCTTTTAATGTGCTTATCATCATATCAGCCTTCTGTGATGTGGGATTAGAGGTGAGAAATTGAAGCACAAAGTCTCAGGTCAGGTTTTGAAAAGATTATGAACAGGTACACATCTTATGCACACTTCAAAAATACAGTCCCACAAAAATGACCCAAGAAGACCATGATAGATCAGGGATTTTCTCTTCCAAACCCCCTTCTAAAGGCACAGCATTAGTCCTGCACTTTAAAGGCTTTTTCATAAATTTAATTTAGCCCCTTTCAGACTCTAAACTAAAATTACAGTCCTAGACTTACAAACAAAAATTTTTGTAACAGCTACAAAATTATATAAATATTTCTGAACCCAGTGACACCCATAATCAAATTAAATAGGGTTTTCTAATATTGTAGCTAAAGTTTCCTTAGCACACATGTCACTATGGTATCTGTCTCTCACTGCATATGGAAAGGTCTGGGGAGGGAAAAAGAGAAGACAGTGAAAACCAGACAAATTAAACAAGAGCCACAGAATTATTTTGGTAGTATTTAAACTCAATTACATTACATAATGAGAGAATGCTCCTTTTATTCTTTTTTTTCCACACAAGTAATTGGGTTTTCTAACATCCTAACATGAGTTCCGTATAAATCATCATAGCTGTGTTTCACAATATTGTCCTCTGTAAAACAAGCAAAAAAAAAAAAAAAAAAAGAACAAAGTTATTAAGAAAGATAAACTTTTAAATCCATAATCTGTGAAGGCTATATTATTTCTTGATGGCCACGGGCTTATCTGGAGGCATACAGAGGGATGAATGAACCCCATAGAAAAGTTTCAGTTCAATCATTTCAGCTTTCAAAGCCAGATGAAATCTGAAAAAGTCTCATTTACCCCAGGGAATTTGTCAAGGGAGGGATTCTCACCAACGACCGTGATTTTACATTAACCTTTAGGTCAGACTGATGTTGCATTATTAGCATTATTTAATTAACAAAATTCATGCTTTGAAACTTTAAATATTTGCAAATTCATCCCCTGTAATGACTTTCATTCATTATTATTTACCTAGAGTCCGAGTCATCCTGTAGCAGCTCTCATTTCCCTTAGCGGGAACAGCTGGGGGAGACAATCCAGTCACTCTCTTTAGGTGTTTAAATGGGAGCAGAGCTCCTCCAGAAATCTGGCTCCAATTATGAGCACTACGTGCTTTGAAAACCTGACCCTCGTGTTCAGTGTCGGCTAGACATTTTACAAACAAGTCTGATGATAATAGCATAGTCATGCAGGCAAAGTGCTCACAATGTAGACACAGCACAGGCTTGGGGCTTTGCCAAGGCAGCTATTCTGGTGTAGGATCACACCTCTTCATACCACCAGCCAGCGCGCTCTGCAGCACGGGCACAGCCTGAGGGAGCAGCCAGCCAAAGATCCCCAACTCACCATCAGATCTATAACAATTTGCCACCAAAAATTTTTCACTGTGAAAACCTCAGGATTGTATTGGGAGAAAAGCCGGCATTCACGTTTGCTCTTAGTTTTTCGGAAAATCATAATATTTTACTTAACTTTTGAAGAAATGTTGATTTTTTTATTTTAGATTCTTCTGCCACCCTTTTTTTTTTTTTTTTTTTTTAATCTTTTCATTTAAAAAAACATACTCAAAATCTGTCATTTAATTTAAAGGACTTTTGTTTCGCATTTGCCAAGGACTGCTCCACCTTTGTCATCAGCCCTCTGGATGGCCTGAAGGAAAACACTTCACCTCTTTCCAGCTCTGGTTAAAGGGGAAAGTGATGCTGACATGCTTTGTAAGTGCCTGAAGATTAAAATGCTCACACTCCTGATAGACAGAGAGAGTCTATGGGTATGTACACAGGAGCTAAGAAAGCTTTCAGTACCGCACCCTGACACCCTGCATCTACAACTTTTGTGAAAATGTCCACTGATGTTTTTTAAAGCACTGTTTCTCATGTCTATCCATCTACCTGCCAAGTCTTCATGACCATGAGTAAGTAATTGAAGTGTACATGACTGATGTCTGTAAGTACACCATCAAGGAATTAATCTGAATATTGATATCTCCTAAATACAGTTCTAGGCATCAAGCTCAAAAATCACCATTTTTCTGTTCCTTCTCCCTGACTCTTCGTCATGTACTGGGACCTCATAGCAAATATGGAGATGAGTCTCATCCTCCTTTATGGTGTGAGTGTGTCCAGGGTTTAGGGAGAACCGGAGAAGGGGAGCAGAAAGTTTGGCTTGTCACTGTGCCACAAAACAGGGGCAAAAACAATGCCAGAGAGAGGTGAGTTTTGCCTGGACCCCGTGTGAAAAAGGACCATTAAATGTGATGGCAAAATCAGCTGACATTTGGGTACATGCTACTTCGTCAGGGAAAGCCATGTTTCTTCTGTGAGTTTTAACAAAGGACTTCTAGACTTGGCCCTCCTGAGATGGGGCTACGCCTGCTCCTGCCAATGCCAGAGCTCACTGGGAAGCCTGCGTGGATATACACCTCCATGCACCAGTCCCACCTCGGGATGCCAATGTGGGCACGGGCTCTGGTGGTCCTTGGCATGTGGGCTGTCCTTGCATCTGTCCTTGCCATCCTACCTCTGTGGTCCCTGAACCCTGTCTCTGAGAGCCGGCCGTGCAGGGCATTTCAGTGGAAAGTACAAGAAACCCTCTAGTGGACAATTAGAGGGAGTGGGTTTAGGCTCCAAAGTGTGAATATTTTTATTGCCTGTTGGATTTAATGCCAGTCTGATCTTGCAAAGACTGTTCTTTTCTACGGGGATATGTAGCTCCTTTTTTCAGTGTTTTTCTCTTGGTTTCAGCTGCATCTCAACCCAATGCCCTGAGCTGGGTACAGAAGCTTGTCTCACCAGGGTTGGAGGCTGTACCGTGGGTGGTGAAGGCCAAGAGATTGCCCAGTGGCCAATATCCAGGTGGCAATGTTGTGCATGCAGAGGCCTGGGCTGTTCTATACTAACTGCAAACTAAATGGTGGCCTTTTAGAGGTAGTCAGGCATGTAACTACATAAGTACCTAAGACTTCCCTGCTGCATCCCTGCAAATCCAAATAGCTTGGAGGTTTTCCTGAAAATTATTTGGTAGTTTAAGCCCCTTTATAGCTCATTAGGTATTATGTAAAAGCCTTTCCAGGGTTCCAGGGTAAAATACTATTTCTCTCAGGCCAATGGTAAGAGTTGGAAAGGATAAGGATTTCCTCACATGAAGTTTCCAGGGTTGAAAAGTCCAGCTTTTTCTGGTC